AGGGAGCCCGATGTGGGGCTCGATCCCAGGACCCTGGGATCATGACCTGAGCCGAAGGCAGACGCTTAACGACTGAGCCACCCAGGCGCCCTGCATGGTCGTTTTTACATAAGTGTGCATATATTATTAAATTGTCACCTCACAGGCCTGCAGAGGGGAGGACTAGAGGGGAGGAGCCACTTCCACAGGGTCATCTGATTAGCACCTGGCAGAGCTGGGATTTGAATGCAGGTCTGGTCAGCCTGGAGCCTGTGCTCCCCACCACACAGTGGTAGTTATGAGCACCACCACCTCATGATTTCACCAGAAAGCCTGGGTTGTGACATGTAATCATGTGAATGTGGGTATTGGGGTAGAGAGGCACATATGAATTTTATTATTAGGGTACTATTTTTTTTTTGTTAGCTATTGTTCTTTTTGTACCTCAGGTAATTAGAATTAGATTAATCCTAATTCGTCATTAGGATCACTGTTAATAATTGCATTGTGAGTGGCCTTTTATTTGTGTATTCTATTACACATAATAAACACCCATGAGTTCCCCCACCCAACCAGAGAACAGAACACAGCTAGCAAGTCCGCGAGGCCTCTGGGCTCCTCCCCACCCTGTTCCCTGCCTCCCTTCATGGGGAAACCACTGCCTAGAGTTTTATTTATCATCCCCCACCTTATTTTTTAAAAATAGTTTTCTCAGCTTCCTATTCATGTCTGAGCAGCATATTGTTATGTTTTAGTTGGCTTCAAGGTTCTTAAGCCCTCAAGCTGTGTGGGACTTGCTTTCTTTACTCGACCTTTTGTGGTTGTATAATATTCCCTTCTACGAATATAGCAGTCTGTTTATCCATTCTCCTGCTGAAGGGCATTTGGGTTGTTTCTGGTTCCTGGCTGCTATCAACACTGGTGCTGTGAACATTCTTGAAGGTGACTTCTGCAGCCCATGTTCATCATTTCTCTTGGGCATACCCCCCAGGAATGGAACTACAGATGGGCTGTAGGTATTGGTGCTTTAAATTACAAATGTGATAAATAGCTGCTTGTTGTAAAAAAAAAAAAACAGAAAAATTAAAAAAAAAAAAAATGAGCATCCCTCTCGCTTTCCCCCAGTTCCTCCACCTGGAGGAGGCCTGTTACCCACTGGGAGTGCCTCCTCCAGGCCCCTTGCCAGGCACTTAGAATATGTAACTGTGAGGCTGTGGTTGAGCCCTGGGCATTTTGGAGGTCTTGTTTGGCAAGGAAATCCTCATCTCAAGTTCCAGGGCTTAGGGAGGCCTGGTTTGGCCAACCCCTGACCCCATCCTCCCAGGACTCCTTAGAGAGCTGGGCCCAAGGTGGGGCAGGCTGGGCCCGGAGCCTTGTATGATGCCTCTCAAGCCTGTGGCTCCCCACCCAGGCCTGGCTCTTAGCATCTCTCCCTCCTGCAGGATGAGAACATGGTGAGCTTCATCAAGGGCGGCATCAAAGTTCGAAACAGCTACCAGACCTACAAGTGAGTGGGGCTGGTCTGGGGGCGCCTGGGTCCACAGCGTCTATGACCCTGTGCCCCTCAGGCTGCTTTGTGGGAGGTAGAGAGCAACTTGCTGGTGGCAGGAAGCCTAGAATGCCATGTGACCTCAGTCAAGATTTCTGCACCCCCAGGACCTCAGTTTTCCAGAATATTATTCCCCTGGTTTTCTAGGTATATCTGTTCATTTGGTTCCCCTAAGTCTATGCCTGACCCCGAGCAGGGGAAAATCAGACAGATTGTGGACAGTGTGGTGTGGTAGGGGCTTGGAGGAAGGCACAGGGACTGTCATTTTGAGAACAGCAACAGGACGCCTACACATCTGTTAAGGCCCAGTCCAAATGCCACTTTCCGCATGAAGCCTTCTTTGAACCCCTCCAGTACACACTCACATGCTCCTGAGGGCCAGATCATTTCCATACCATCTTAGCACTGGGCCAGCCATAGGCCTTGTTTAATGGATAAAAGAAATAAGCCTCAGTCCGAACACTTCTACTTAACATGGCACTACAATTCTTATCTACAATTCTAAAATCAAAAAAACTTGGAAAGCCCAGTTTCTTCCCTCAAGTTTGGCATTAAAACTCATTTTCCATTAAAAGTTGACTTGAATTGACTTGAGACTATGTATCATCTTATTTTCCCCATCTAAAGTGACTGTTTCCCTACAGAGATATTGTGAGTCTGATTTCAAGGTACTGCTGGGATATAAGACAGCATGTAGTACATGGGCGTTGCATTACCTGGTGGGTCTGTGCTGGAGTCGTGCTCTGCCCCCACCAGTCTCTTCACCAGCTCCCAGAGTGATGTTTCCAAAGCACAGACCTTGTTAAGTCACCCCCTTACCAACTCCTGACACCCCTCTTGCTCTTAGAATAAAGTCCCAGGTCATTGCTGAGTCATTCCTGGGAGCTCCTCCTGCCCTCCGAGCAATATCGTCCACCTCATTCTGCCTCAGACATTTGGGCCTTCCCTCACTTCTTCAAACATGCCAAGCTCATTCTACTTCAGGGCTTTTGGACATGCTGTCTCTTTGCTAGGAACACTCTGTGCCAGGCTAACCCTCCCCATCCCTAGGGTTTCAGCTCAAGTGTCAGCTTCTCAGGGAGACCTTCCCTGAACCCCAGACTAGGTCAGGCCCCAGGAGTCTTCTCCTTTGAGGAGCTCCTCACCCTCACAGTGACTTGATGGGGTTCCGTCTCCTAGAGTGGGAGAGTTGTGAGGACAGCAGCTTGGTGGCTTTGCTTCCAGATGCCCTCCATTGCCTGGCACAAAGAGACCTCAGTCCGTGTTTGCTGACTGAAAGCCCTCAAGATGTTCATGGCCCTGGAAGGAGGCGGGCACATCTTTAAAGCCTCTGTCCTACCCCAGGCAGGCTGGGATATGGACTCTGTGTGACTGATGACAAGGAAAGAGAGGGCTGGATTTCAACCAAGAGGCCCCAGGTAGACTTCTTGAAGGATGGGGTGTTGGAGTTAGCCTAGTGGCTCTTCACTGGGGCATTTGGCAATATTTGGAGACATGCTGGTTGTGACAGCCTTGGGGGAGGTTGCTCCTGGCATCTAGTGGGTGGAGGCCAGGGATGCTGCTAAACATCCTGTGATAGTACAGACAGCCCCCCACCTCCACCTGAACGAAGACTTTATCCAGCCTAAAATGTCAGTAGTGCCAAAGTTAAGAAACTGTTCTAGAGAGAATGCAGAGCATGTGCAAATACCTAGACGTTGGACGAGGCAGGTGTGCTAGGGCTGATAAGGCTGACATTCAGGGGCAAGGAGTATGTTATTATGGAGATGGGGTTAGAAATTCCTCGAGTATCAGCTCTCTGGATTGCCAGAACTGTTATCAGTCTACCACCAGGGAGTTCTGAGAACAGCTGGGAGTCAGGGGCAAGCTTAGTCCCCAGCTGGAATGGGACCTCGCCCTCACTATGTGGCTGAAACAAGACTGTGCCTCTCTCCACAGGGAGCTGGACAGCCTTGTGCAGTCCTCACATTACTGCAAGGGAGAGAACCACAGACACTTTGAAGGAGGTGTGAAGCTTGGTGTGGGAGCCTTCAACCTGGTGAGTGGGAGTGCCCCTACACCTGCTCTCTGCAGGCCTGTGGTGCTGGGTCCCATGCTGGCCTGGGGACCCAGCAAGAAAGCAGACCTGTTGCCAGCCTCGGCCACTCAGAGCCGGGGTGGGGTGGGAGTGGGTGCTGGCTCTGGCTTCAGAAGTCCGTCTGTGCATTTCTTCCCAAGTCAAGTTGAAAGCTTGAAATGCACATGGCGGCGGTATTTATAGGACCAGAAAAAGACAAACACAAAAAATCAGGGCCTTTTCTACCCTGGAGAGCTGGTGGTTAAATATTGACCAGTAGCAGGAGAAAGGCCTGGAAGCAGTGGGCAACGCACAGGAACAGAAAGCCAAGACCCCTTCCTGGGGGAGGTTGGGGAAGGTTCCATGGAGTAGAGAATATCTGAGCTGGATCTTGAAGGATCTGTAGACGTGTTTCCTTTAGATAAACTTAAGTAAAAAATATGAGCCATTTTTGGGAAAAATAATACATAAATAATAATACTGAGGTCTACAGTCATGGCAAAAATCAGGAAAGGCAAGAGGAAGTTCAAGTTTGAGAAACACTGATCAGTCTAAAACAAAAAAGCCCCTTGTTTTACCCAAAAAGACCCGGAGGAGGAGGAGGAGATGAGGGCACTCAAGGCAGAAGGAACAGTGTGAGCTAAGCAAGGCAGGGAGGCTCTGAAGCTTATTCTTGGGAGGAGGAGATGCTCATCAACAGTTTAGACTCCTGGCCCCGGGTGTCCAGAGACCTGTCCGGAAGTGCATATGAGGCAGGGTGTGGCTCTCTCCCCTCTTGGCAAAGCCTGTTCCAAGAGCAGGCCTTGGGGCCGGGGTCCCTGCCCCACTCTGGGTTCCAGTTTCCTTGTATGTGAAGTGGGAAACTGGGTTCCAGTTTCCTTGTATATAAAGTGGCCCAAGTGCTGAGAAGTTCAAACTGCAGAGTTCATCAGATGCTTTAGCAGGTTATAGCCAGGCTGTCCTGGGTTTGAGAACTGGCCCCCCTCTGATGAGCTGTGGGGCCCTAGGCATGTCCTGTCACTTATCTCTGCCTCTCTTTTTCTATCTATCAAAAGGGACAGTGATCTTTCTTGGCAGGACTGTTCTGAGGATCAAATGCAATGACAGAGCCCCTGGTGCAGAGCAGGGATTCAGTGTGAAACACCAGCTTTCATGTGCTTTACAAACCTTAGTTTGATCCATCTTCATGGTACCCCTAGGAGGAAGGGGCTATTATTATTCCCAGATGAGGAAACTGAGGCACAGAAAGGCTATGTAGCTTGCCCAGGGTGACCCAGTGGGTGTGGTGAGATTAGGATTTAGACTCAGTTTGCTCCTAGTTGTCACACTGAGGTGCTTCTCCATCCGGGGAAGTTGGCTTTCTGGGAAACCTTGGCCCTCCTTGTGGGCGTTCTGGAGATAGGTGCTCCCCCAGGATTACCATGGGACTCTGGAGTTTGGGGAGTCGGACGGACAGCTCCCACCCCTCCACATGCCCACCTGCCTCTGTTCCTGCAGACGCTGTCCATGCTTCCTAACAGGATCCTGCGGCTGTTGGAGTTTGTGGGATTTTCAGGAAACAAGGTAACCGCCTGTCTTCTGGGACTCCTGACTGGCTCAGCTGGACGGGGTGGGGCTGAGGGGCCGTAGGCCCTGTGTGTTGGTCCTGGCACAGCCCCCCTCAGTTGTGGCCCTGGACAAAGCCCAGGCCTCTCTGAGCCTCCGTCTCCTCTCCAGTGAAATGTGGCCAGTGATCCCTGCCCAGCCCCACACAGGGTGAAGAGGCTGTAGGGTAAGGATGGGTGTGAAGGGCAGCTTCGTGCAGTGGCCTGGAGTCATGTTCTCTGAGCCTTACAGGTGTCAGGAACCTAGTCCTCCTCCCTTTGGAAGACTTTGGAGCAAGTTCTTTCCCTTGAGATCATTTTCTTGTCTGAGAGATGCCGAAGAGAAGCACTACCATGCATCAGGCCTTGAGGGCAGAAACCAGAGGACGCAAGCACCCAGAGACTTTGCTAAAGGCAGGAGTCTGAGTACTAGGTAGCAAATCAGGGAGAGCTCCCTGGTAGAGGAGGCCCCTCATTTTAGAAGGAACCGTGGCCTGGGAGTCAGGAGTCCTGGGTCAGTCCAGCCTCATCTCCTCCTCCTCCTCCGGGTCTTTTTGGGTAAAACAAGGGGCTTTTTTGTTTTAGACTGATCAGTGTTTCTCAAACTTGAACTTCCTCTTGCCTTTCCTGATTTTTGCCATGACTGTAGACCTCAGTATTATTATTTATGTATTATTTTTCCCAAAAATGGCTCATATTTTTTACTTAAGTTTATCTAAAGGAAACACTACTACATAGAAAACCCATGTTATTTGGCATGATAAGAACATAATCATAACCATAAGCAATCTTGTGAGAGCAGGCTGTAGGATCTACTGACGCCGTTTTCCTGTGGGAAGAGGTGTTGAATACACACCAGCACGGGACTGAGGCTTTCTCCTGCATACCATCAGGACACATAGAGAACTGGAAAGGGAAGACCCTCACTTGGGACTCTGAGCCTCATGTCTGTCTGGAGACCTGTCCATGGTCCATGGCCCTGGTCCTGGGAAACACCAGCTAGAGGCTCCAAAGGTCTCTTTTAGTTTTGTTTTAAGAAGGCCCTTGAGTCCTGAGAAGGATTTCGGGATGATGACAGGAGGGAAGAGCATGAGAAAGGCCAAGAGGTGGGACGGTGTGGCCTGCCTGGCTAGGAGGAGAGGGTGACGAGACCAAAGTGGGAGAGACCTCAGACACTGGCTCTGGCTTCATCTTTACCCTGAAGGCAAGGAAGCTATGGAGGGTTTGAGGCAGGGGTGAGGTAGGTCAGATTACCCTGGAGGACAGATGGGGGCAGAGACTGCAGGCAGGGATACAAGTGGAGTCTGGCCTCTCCTCCTCCCCAGCCAGGCTCTAGAGCCTTCTCCTTCAGGAAGCCTTCCCAGACTGCAGTCCTCGTGGTCCCATCTGTGCTCTGAGCCTCTGGTTAGGATTATCTGCCTCAAGTGGAGTCTGGCCTCTCTTCCTCTCCGACCAGACCCGGGGCTGCTCCGGGCCTCAGTGCTCACCATGGGGGCCAGCAGGTGAATAAAGGCAGGAATGGGGAAGGGGCTGTTGAGGAAGTAGGGGACACCTGGACCCAAGCCTCCGCCCTGGCCTTGGCACCCCAGGAAGGTAGCTGAGGCAGCGAGAGGGGCAGCCTGGCTCAGGGTGGCCCAGCCCGGGTGCGGGGGTTGCGGGTGGCTGACCTGGCCGGCGGGCTTCCAGACGCGGAGTGCAGCGCTCTCGTGCCCCTGCCCCAGCAGCACGGCCCTCCCAGCTGTCCGGTGGGCCCCCCGGCCCCCACCGCACCCTGGGTCTGGCCTCAGCCTGGGGGTCTCTCTCCGCCAGGACTACGGACTGCTGCAGCTGGAGGAGGGCGCCTCAGGGCACAGCTTCCGCGCTGTGCTCTGTGTCATGCTGCTGCTCTGCTACCACACCTTCCTCACCTTCGTGCTCGGTAGGAGCGCCCCCTGGGCGACAGCGACAGCCCGGGCGCCTGGGGCTGGGCTGGCTCTAAGGACAAGGAGCTGCGGACCCTGCCGGG